ACACGGTGTGCATTGAAAACAGCACTTCGTTTTCTTGTAAGAAGCGACCACGATTCCCAACTAAGGCAAACGGTGTTGTTGACTGAGAAGGATCAACCTGTATTACGAAGAGAATGCCTACTAACTTGGGATTGTCTGCGTTACTTTTCGCATAGGAAAACGAGACGTCACGTTGCATACTGGTAGAGAAGAAGCTATTGAATGACATCAACCCGCCTATCGTGTTTCTTAGTTCTCGAAAATCTGTGTGAGGTAGACCTTGTCCACGATATACTGTAAACACACGGGAACTCCAAGGTGTGTTAACAAACTGTTCGTTGTGCAACTGTTCTATGTTGCGATGAAGATCAGTGATGAAGAATCCCATTCGAACAAGAACATCACCATCCATGACTCGTAGTGCATCGTTGAGCATGGAATGCAAGGAATTACCTCTTGTATACCACCAGATGGGCTTATTTGCACGGTAATCACGTACTGATTGCTTAACATCATTAGAATGTGTACCATCGAGAGTGATTAGTCCAGGATGATGCCTGACAAACTTTTCGATGTGTTTGTCTTCGAATTCGATCGTTAACAAGATCTCTTTGAAGAGTTGTGTGTACATGAAAGATGGATTGAGCAGATCCAATCTTTTGCCAGATGGTACAAAACTGATTGGTGTGACAGTGGGCTCATCTTGGAGAAACGTGTTCTGAATGGCTTGGCAGAGTGATGTTATATCAGTGAAAACATCTTTGATCTTGTTCCAATGTCTAGCCCATTGTTCATGATATGATTTGTTTTGACAAAAGATGAAAATCGTGTGTAATGGAGGAATATCGTGGATACAACGCACAAGATATTGTCCAAGTGCACCAGACACGATTAGATAGACTTGATGGTCATTACAATTGAGTATATATTCGACACATTCATCATTATCCGTGAATGTAGTGACATTGTCAGTAATGTGTTCAAGTTGTGCAATTGTTAACTGGCAATCAGCATTGTTATGATCAATCTGATTGTCGAGCCAGATCACAACGACGTCTTGCATCTTTTTAATATCGACCGATCGGCGATTATCTACTGCGCTGAAAGTTCTGATTAATTTTCTGCTAGTTGTTGTTGCCTTCACTCACTCTGATTTGGTGCTGTGTTGGTTAACTCACAATAAAAAGAGTAACTTCGTTGATAAATTTTTTTATTCTTTCTTCTTTCTACTGCATTCGCAGAGTTATCTTTTTTTATGCAGAACATCTGAAGAACGAGACAAACATGCCTGTAGAGAATGCAATTGTTGCTATACAAATATTGAAAAAGTGAAAAGAAAGTGTTTAGTAAAAGACGTAATTTAACTGAAATAAATCGAAACAGTTTCTATTAGTATAATACGCTTCTGTCTGAAAAAAGTGTCGCAGAGAGGTTAAACCTTACCTGCTCGAGATGCTAAAAGTCTATTCATCCTAGTGGATCTAAATGTGTTCGTAACCGTTCAAAAAACGAATGATGAGATGCTGTTGTAATCGGGAAACATGAACGTTTGTTCATCTTTTCTTTCACCTTGAATCAAACGTGATAAAATGAGCTTTCGTAAATGTATCGTTTGTTGTTAAATCTAATCGGGAAGTAATATTAATGTTGAAAAAGGTCTACTTCGAAGAGATATAAGTCTGAAATTGATTTTGGCCGCTGCATATAAGATCTTTCAATTGAGTTTTAGCAGAAATGGACAAAAAGGAAGCATGCAATCGCCATAGACGTCGACTAAGTATGAATAAATTTGTTGATACACAAAGAATTGTTTTACTGGCACATGCTCACTGTGTAACAATTCATAGAATGCCACTCTCTTGTTTCAGTTTTATTTTGAAATAATGACGATATACTAATCCATTCGACTCGAGACAATTTTTATCCAATCCTTTTGTTCAACAGTAACCTAATCTATTTGATTGACAAAAACGAAAGACATCTATTCTATATGATATGATTGATCACTCTATCTTCATTTTATTCAAAGTAAAAATACAAATAAAAATAAATGTCGAATACGTGCACAAGTTTAGTTTTTCATCACTTGCTTCATTCGTTGTGTATATCTTTAATTGTGCATAGATTTTCGATGGATTGAAGACAAATATCTTCGTATTATTTTATTAATCATGTTACATATACAGATGTATAATGCATGCCACTTGCGAAGTCTGTTGGATACAAAACAGCAACAGTTGATTCAGTTGTCGAAGCAGGTGAGATTGGAGTAGTTGTTGTTAACTGTTCAGAATACGTTCACATGATATTGGATGAACATAGGTGAGAGAATCTTACGAGTGTGTTGATCAAGAGGAGAAAGCCAAAACTTGATCTATTTCAGATAGTATTTGAAGTAGAGCGAAGTAGTTGAAGTCTGAAGTCTCGCTTTTTCTCTCTTGGAAAATCCGTTTTTAGTAATGATTTCTTTTCAAAACTTACTTCATTTATTGTACTGAATATTATCTTTTTCTATGTCGAAACTGTTAGCCTACTCGTTCGGCATTACCTTCTGCCAATAGCTATGGTCCTAATTCATAAAAAGGGTTGACCAGTTTTTAATTGGAGAACATGGTGACACAGACTGAAGCTGTGGGAATAGGATACTTTTTTCGGCAAAAAAAATCAGAAATGTGGTTCAATGCATCCGAAAGACGCGTCCGGATGCGTTTATGCCTGCGTTTCAAACACATCTATACTAAAAAAGAATTTCACATGGGGAGGACGATTTATGTAGCAGACAACGTCTTAACCTCACCCAACCCGATTAAATTTATATCTGATGAAACAGTTAGTTGAATAATAAATTTTCTACCCAATAATTCAACTCCGATGATAGTTATGCATGATCATATTGAAATGAAATAGTGAAAAAGCTTTATTCCAACAATTAGAGATATTTGTAACATTTCCTGGGTTCGTCCATGAGAAAATAATGGGATTCTGTGTCATTGAATAACGTAGAATAATCTTTCCTCTCGTGTCATTCACTTTTCTTATCACGTAGAAGACTGATTATAGAGAATATCAAGTACAAATACTATGTGCGAAAGAGGTTTGTTGTGTAAAATAGCATCTGATGATGAGTATATCGCATTTATCAATAATATTTTTCTTCAAATGAATTGTGATTTTTCTATTCGGAACAATTCGACATGCTCTGAATGTTATGCTTTTATCTCAACAACTATTTCGTTTCAATTTCTGTGACCTACTTTTCCTTTTTTCGTCGTTGGCGAATTTTATTTCAATCGCATCTGGTCTTATTTGCCGTTTATTCGCTGGATGGTTTGTTGATTCAACCACTATACGGGTCGATGTCTCTAAAAACTTCGTACGTTTGTTCTTAACGTAGCACGACCAGCCGAATTTTGGTTCATCTTTTTAGCAATCGTTGATCGATGGTTGCTGCCAAACCGGAATATTTATTTTCGTCGAATGGGTACGGTAAAGAATGGCAAATGAAGTATGATTGTTGTTTTCATTCTCTCAGTCATAGTACTTCCTCATGTTATCTATTCTTATGAACCAAACCTAGTATATGCACCTTTACGATGTTATGGAGTGACACTTACTTGTCGTTTTGTAACCGACGCACTATTTATACTTGGAAGCATTTTCATTCTGCTGGTATTGATGCTCGTCTTCGGATTCTTGACTATTCGAAATATACGTCAATCACGAAAATCTGCTCAACCAAACACTATCGTTTCGGTGGAAAAACGATCACACAAAGTTTTCAGTAGATCTGATTATAACACTGTGAAAGGTCTGCTCGTGTGTGAGTGTCAATCGTAATACTTAATCGTCAACTATGCACATGATAAATGAACTTTGAAAATGAAGATGAATGACGATTAAAGCGTGGGGTTATTGATCAATTGGGCCAATGAAATTTCTTTGTAAAAGGTTTTCTGCTTTAATGTTAATCATATCTGATCGAGGCAGGGAAAATTTACTTCCGATTATAAAACGTTTTTTCTACGTACATTCCAACAACAGAACGGCACTTTTTCCTAATTTCCTTAGCAACCGATAACAACAAGAAGCGATCAATCGTTGGATTCACTGACCCTTTTCGGAAAGAATTAGAAGACTTCTATATAAAACTTTTCACGTAGATCTCGATCTAATCAGCTTTGAACTAAACCAACTTTTATGCATGTTCTTTTCTTTTAATCCTTTTCTGCTCTATTCGTGTCGAACTACTTTCATTTCAATTCATTTGTACAAACATATAAGCAAAGGAACATCGTTTCTATACATTCACTGATCGACTCTCTTGCGATCATTTAAACTCAAAATTAATTGGTTTACATTCGTTTTATCTCTTCTAAGCCATCGAAACAAACATCTAGTCGTTCGTCGGTCTCCCTCCGGTCAGCCACTCGTGGCTAGCCGTTATATGTCCACCTGCCAGAGGAAATATTATTTGAGTGCTTGTATCGGATGACGTTTATGTAATATAACTGTTTATATAGTTGTAATTTTATCAATATGTTGATGAGCATGGAAATCCAAGAATCCGATGTTTATCAATTATTTCGTTTTGTTCTGCATATTGCTGCTTAAAACGCTATCGCCTTAAAAAAATCTTTTTTTGCAAAACAATTATCCTTTGTCTAAAAGAAAAACGGAATACAAACTTTTTATGAAAAAACTAACACCAGATTCGAGACCCTTGACCCCGATTACCCTTCGATTAACCCTCACTCAACACTATCCTTGAGTTTTTATGAACTTATCAAATGCTGCAATCTGACTGGATTATAATAAAAATCAACAGCTGAATGCTAAAATTCAAATTGCATATTTGATCGTACTGCGTTGATCTGTGTATTTCTATGCTATTGCAGCTGTCGACATGCCTCCAATATAAGACGTATTGAATGTTGCCTTTTCTCTCATGCGCCAGCTGTCTATTTCTATGGGCTTGTCCTTATCTCTTCTATATTCATGGGATTATTCTCGATCACGATCCTATGTATAGGTATTTGAGTATGTAGATCTTTACATGCGTGTGGTCATTTTCTGCTCTCTTTCATCACGTTCCTACTTATGTTCTCACAATAAACACGCAACACCCTCAAGAGAAAATCTATAACGAAGAACAATAATATTTTTGAATTGATCACTATTCTATAGAAAAAAAAGCGAAAGCCGATGAAATTCTGCTGAAAACAGATCTCATCACTAATTCGAAATTAAAAACGAGTGTGCAAAAAGCTTACGACACTCGGTATTCCCAGGCGGTCACCCATCCAAGTACTAACCGAGCCCGACGTTGCTTAACTTCAGTGATCGGACGAGAACTGGTGTATTCAACGTGGTATGGCCGTAAGCATTTCTACATCTAATATTCGTTCCTTTTGATTTTTCTGTCGTCTAGATCTAACGGTTCATGAAGACAAAGTTTTGATAAAACGCTTTTCTACTAACAAGTAACGCTCATCCTTTGGATTCGCTGACCCTTTTCTGAAAGACTTTTCCTAATGCTGAACACATTCAGAGACTTCGGAAGAGAAAAATCGCACTGCGATTGCTACTGGTGCTCAACTGAATCATGGTACTTTGTCACACACTAGAACTAGAATGAATAGGATACAGAGATCTTTTTAGGCATATGTTATGCTATAGCTTCAAGGAATAAGTGATCGACTAATAAATTTCAGAAGCAGTAAACTTGACTGGTTCGACATAGTCTAACAGCATCACCTGAAGCTAAATTCATTCAGGCAGTCATATGATAAAAATAGTCTGAGCATTATTTTTCGCTCTACTGTTCAGACTTCCGAGTTGTCACAGTGGATGAAATAAATGTGATAGTTTGTCGAGATCATTAACAACTCATAAAATAAAATGAGAGGATTCGTTGTGTTCTGTTCCAATGAAAATATGAACTGAGTTGGTTAAGATCTAACTCGCTATCCGGTAATGGTACTTCGTGTGACCAGTGTAGTTACACTGTAGACAGTTAAAAAGCTAAGACAGCTAACAATTATTTGATGATATCTGAATCGATGAGATACTAAGCTGGCTGGATCACATTATAGATGAATAAATATATATATATACCACTTTTTTGCACTTGAATGACTAATTTTATCTCCGACTTGTTCTTCTTTTAGAACTCATTGAATACTGCTCCTCAAGCGCCGCCAATTTCAGCACTCTTACAAAGAGAATTAAATGATGCAACTGCCGAAATTCGAACACTCAAAGAACAACTCGAAAATGCGAGCACACGATTCCAACAACAGATAGTGCTACTGAAAAATCAAATGAAAACACAAATGGAAATGCTTGAAAGACAACTGAAGCAACAACAAGATGCTAGTCAACGGTAGGAGAAAATTTTTAAGCAACGAAATTTATCGACTAAAACGACACAGTAAGCATTAATAATGTTAACATCAGAATATAGTGTAATCTATGCTTACTTTTAATCTTTAGAATGGATGAAAGAGAATGTCTATGGTCACAGTAGATCTACAAAAATTCGTCTTAGTCGTAGAGGACCAAATGTTTGTAATCGTCATAGCAGCAAAAGTGATCCAACTATAACCCAAATAATATTGCAATAGATATTAATAATGTTTAAAAGTCTTTGAAACTTTCTAAAAAATTATTCTTTTCATTCATGTTAATGACTATTTTTTCATATATGTAAATAGTTATTTTTATGTATATCAATTATTTTTCTTTATTGCTCACTGAAATACTCTTCAATATCTTGCATACTCAAGTCATCAAATCCGATGCTGGATCTGACCGGATCCGACCATCTGATAAAATCCTATATTGGATCCGATGGGATTGTTCGGCCTGGGTATTGTTGCTCATCATTGGCCAGTCGAAATAATTTTGCGAATAAATAGATATGCATTTCAAATGATCAATTTGTGCGTTCAAATATTAAGCTAATCACTTAATTGGCAAAACTAGAATCCTTTTCAACTATTGATTGCTTATGTAACAGGAAACAGAGTTTTCTTTCTCTATCCAATATTCTATAAGATTTTCAATATCAATGTATATCCAACATCACCGCGAAGCTAGCACGAACAAACGATGTGAATATTGGGACGCGTCGGCGTCGATTTTGAAGAAATTATATGGTTTAGCAACAGCATCGATTCTCGGTGATCATTCCACTTTAGCTGGTGAAAACAAGAAGGTCATTTTGAATTCGTAAAGATGACACATTTATACTTTTAATCAAGCAAAGTCGCAATATTTTCGTGCTTTCATTTAATCAAATTTTTATACAAGCAATTTTAATGTAGTTTTTCTTTTCTCTTGTTGCAAAATAAATTTTTTTTAAGATTCTCTTCCAGAAAAAAATACGATCTTAATGGATGCAAGAATATGAAAAAAAAAACTTCGGTATTTATGTCCCATTGCGTTGATCGAGTAATTAAACAAGTTCCGAAATTGATACGAAAACATCGATATCAAACGAATGAATCCAATTATTTCTCGGTCGGAGTGAAGAATATGTTAATAAGATTAATGATTATTAATCATTTCAAAGTAGAAAACTAATTCGCATTTCCCGACGATTCCATCAAAGGAAAAATGACACGTCCCACGCGTATCGATCTCTTTTTCTCTCATCTTGCTATGTACTGCTATTTTTATAAGTGGAAAGTAATCGTTCAGACGACATTTATTCTCTCATTTATCTCGACGAAACACAACTTTATCATGCTATCTAATACTCTTGTCCGATTAGCTATGGCCATGTGCCTTGCCTTCCTTCTCTTCACAACTGTTCTCGCTGCAACGAGTGTAAGTTTTACTTTCAAGTTTTAATTTTAAATCATACGTTCATGCCGTTTTCATTTAGACATCGGACGTAAAAACTGAGTAAGATCAAAGATTGTGTGTTTTTAGTGAAACTCATCGGAGTCGATTTTTGTAGAGCAAATGTTGAAGAAATACAATCAACAATAAACGAACCAGATGAAGATTTAAGTAAACTCTGCCAATATTTCTGTGCGAATAGCCATTTCTTTACTAAAAGGTAATTCAAACAACGAATTCTTTGTGTTTCAAGCACAACGAGAATTTCTTGTTGTTTTAGAGCTCCTTTGAAAGGTTTTGTTCATGGCCGATCAGTTAATGAAGAAACCGACAGTAGCGATGATCTTCTGGACAAACGTTTTGTCCATGGCAAACGTTTCGTTCATGGCAAACGTTTCGTTCATGGTTAAATCTCATTAAACTGAATAAAAGATTGTCATTTTATGCACGCTTTCATTGTTCATGTCATCAGCAGAATAAAAATGAACTAGACATTGTATGTTTTTTACTGACATCTACTGACCTGCTGTACACGGACGGATTGAAAGAGTTAGTTTCTGTTGACAACAATGAGAATGATGAAGTCGGAGAGAAAGGAAGGAGAATCGAGTCAGATGAAAAATACGAAGGCCTTCAATTTGATGGTTTAACAAAGCATCGACGCGAAAGAAGAAAAGTAACAAGTTGAATTGAATAAAAGAGAGTTTTGTCATTGCAACAAGAATCGAAAGACACTTCATCGGCAATCATGCACACAATTACGGAAAGTAAAGTCAATAATCAAACGATTCTCCAAGAACATATCGACGAAAATTATGAACCAACTCCCGAAGAAATTCATGAATATGCTATTTACATTGGAATCGATCCTGATAAAGTAACTTTCGAACGCGAAATAGATGATTCATTTCGATATGAAATTTAGGAGCCTCATTTACTTTGGTTGGCGAAAGAAGGAATTTTGAAGCCATTACCGCCAGGTTGGAAACCCTGTCAAGAAGAACACGGAGAATTATATTACTTCAATTTTGACACGGGCACATCATCATGGGATCATCCATGTGATGAAATTTACAAAGCACGTGTGATCGAAGAAAGGTAATTGGATAAGCATTCTTTTTTGACAATTGTCCTTATTGTTTGCTGTTAGAAATAACCTAACATCCAATTTACAAGGAACCAATCTACGCGGTAAGATTTTTCATTTGGAAATATTGCCTTCCGAGAATGAATATGTTGAAGGTATATTGACCCAGACTGGGAGAAGTACATCAACGGTAACGGATTATCTAATTGGTGGAAAAGTTGCGGCTACTCTGGGAGATACAGCTGTAGTATCGAGAAATGTTGTTCAAACGAATAAACCTGGTAGGAACAGATTTTCGTCGGAGTAATGTCAAAATAAAGTCTCGCTTAGATCCAGCGTATGAATATAGTGACAACGAAATTGAAGAAGAACTAATGAACAGTGTCGACGATGATGAGGAACAGAGCAGTGATGATTTTCGAGGAAAAGTGGATTTTGGTTCGTAGTAGTCATCCATTGATTTATATGAGATTTACTGAAAGACTTGTTTTAGGTATCGATCCGTCGCTTTCCGCACGCATTGAAGACGATGAAAAGAAGACACTTGCAAGATCGGCACTTACTCAATCTCGTTCGATTAATTCCCTGGAAAACACTAGTAGTTTTCCCAACTCAGAGTTTTCTCCAATGAATTACATCATTTTTCTTGCAGATCGAAGGCCTACTGTTCAAGAAAGTCTAGACAGTGATGAACCCGAAAATAACGAAACTAAGCGGAAGAGACTTGCAGACGCTGCTGAAAGACGTTCGTCTCATGTATACACAGCTAAATCAGAAGCTCATGTAAAGAGACATTTGACTTCGAATGGTATCGTGTACTTCGACGTTCTTTTTAGGACGATAATTTCATAACTCCACGTGAAGATCCGGATGTGACGAAATTTCGATTACGAATTGAACAGTAAGAATACGTGCCTAATTGTCTATTCATTAGGATTTGTTACTTAATTAGATCTACCAATGACGAGAAGCTGCAAATCTTAGAAGAACATCGCGCACAGATCGAAAAAATAAAAGCTGAACAACGGCAAGAAAAAGATAAAGAAGAAAAGGCATTGCGTGATAAAATGAAAACAGATCTTGCGTAAGACAAGTTTAAGAAAACTTTTAAAGATTGTCCATTATTGTTCCAATTTAGTTCAATCGAAAGTGAAGTACGTGAAACAGTGGCTCGTGAGAGGAAATTGTTAGAAAGTCGAAAGCAAGATGAAATCAATCATATCAAAGAAGCAATTGAAAAGGAAAAGGAAGATTTGAAGAAAAAACTACGGTAATTTCTACGAATAAGAAAAAAACGAATAATAAGATTTGTACAAATTTAGCACAAGCATGCAGGTAGATTTGGATGTGTACAAAGGATCACTTGAACAACAAAGTAATATGAATGTTCAAGTTCGATCGTTAAATGATAAACTTGCGCAGGAAAAACGCGATTTCGAAGAGGTTTGATTTAGAGTAATCATGAAATTTCAACATTTGTCTTCTACGTTTATAGAAAATCCGTCAGCTAGAAACTCGACATAAGACTGAAACAGATGATCTAACACGACGTCTCGAACAAGCAAAATCAGATAAAGAAAAATTAGAAAAGCATATCAGAGAGGTAAACTGTCATTGGAGAAAAAAAAACCTACATTTATCATCGCTAAGTAGAAGGACAATCTTAATCTGACAATGCAACGAACAATCGATCAATTAAGTGCTGATAAAGGATCCCTCGAACGTAAATTACAAGATGCGGAATTACAACTAAAAGCGATTGACAACAGCCATCGTCAAACTCAATCATCTAATAATCGTAAATCGTTACGAACTATTAGTGATAACGAAACTGATGACGATGATGACGATAACCATCGTGATAGTGAAAAGTCGAAATCGAACAAAATCTCCACAAGACATCACAATGGCTTTCATCACGACGAAGACGATATTGATCGACTAAGTGATACTGACAGCGATGTTATGGAAATGGAACAAACTTTAAAACAATTACGACTTACTCAACTTGAGTACATGTCCCTACTTCCGATTACAAATCTCGATGAAACTAAGCAACGTTCGTCAGTGAAACCGAGTCCAGCTGCAACAGTTGACTTCAGTAAACTGTCGGTTGCAGATGTCGGTCCTGTCATACGAAATATTCGAACGATGCAGCGGAATACTCCAAGATTATACGATTCGGTCGAAACAACATCGAATCCACTATTAACTGATTCAGGTCGATGGTCAAATAGTTTAGTAT